GTAATTGTACTTGACCCTTTTGAACCCCTCCTTTCGGGCTAATGTTGAACACCTTGGGGTCACATTTTTGAACTTTGAACCACATATTTGTGTTGTACACACATGGGAGGATCCTAATATCATATGGCCGGCCATTAATTCCTGTTGACCCTTTTGAACCCCTCCTTTCGGGCTAATGTTGAACACCTTGGGGTCACATTTTTGAACTTTGAACCACATATTTGTGTTGTACACACATGGGAGGATCCTAATATCATATGGCCGGCCATTAATTCCTGTTGACCCTTTTGAACCCCTCCTTTCGGGCTAATGTTGAACACCTTGGGGTCACATTTTTGAACTTTGAACCACATATTTGTGTTGTACACACATGGGAGGATCCTAATATCATATGGCCGGCCATTAATTCCTGTTGACCCTTTTGAACCCCTCCTTTCGGGCTAATGTTGAACACCTTGGGGTCACATTTTTGAACTTTGAACCACATATTTGTGTTGTACACACATGGGAGGATCCTAATATCATATGGCCGGCCATTAATTCCTGTTGACCCTTTTGAACCCCTCCTTTCGGGCTAATGTTGAACACCTTGGGGTCACATTTTTGAACTTTGAACCACATATTTGTGTTGTACACACATGGGAGGATCCTAATATCATATGGCCGGCCATTAATTCCTGTTGACCCTTTTGAACCCCTCCTTTCGGGCTAATGTTGAACACCTTGGGGTCACATTTTTGAACTTTGAACCACATATTTGTGATGTACACACTTGGGAGGATCCCATCAGTTGGTGGCCGGCCATTAATGTTACTTGACCCTTTTGACCCCCTCCTTCCGGGCTAATGTTGAACATCTTGGGCCCATTTTCTTGAACTTTAAACCACATATTTGTGATGTACACACATGAGAGGACCCTAAAAGTTGGTGGCCGGACAGTAATCCCACCTGACCCTTTTGAACCCCTCTTTTCGAGCTAATGTTGAACCCCTTGGACCCACTTTCTTGGACTTTTAACCACAGGGTTGTGTTGTACACAAATGGGAGGACACCATCATGTGGTGGCCGGCCACTAAACCAGCTTGACCCTTTTGACCCCTAGCCGGCCGGCTAGGGGATGTGGCCGGCCAGCCACCTGCAGCAAAAATACTTGGCCGGCCATGATCCTCACACTGTTCACTTTACAGCTGTATAGCTTTATCCCCCAGAAAATATCTATATCCGGGGAATATTTTGTGGGGGAAAGTTGGCCTCCTTTTCCCCCACCTTTACACCCCTTTTTTGGTCCATATAACCAGCAAGCCATATTACATTTAGGGGTTAGAAAAAATTGTCTTCAAGCCTCAATACACATACCTCCCTCCATCCTTCTCATTTTCCTAAAAATCCTTAAGTCCTACACCTTGTTTTCTTCATCACCACCAAGCTCTACCACCACCACTCCATTTCAGCAGCAAGGGGAAGAATTCCAGCAGCTTAGAGTCATCAAAATTGGTCCAAGAAGCAACAAAAGACTTGTCTCCAAGGGTGAGTTGCCATTTCCTCTTTTTTGAGCTTTTCTTTGCAATATTTCTTAGCCTTTCCTTCTTATACATTTGAGCTCCGACCAAAACTGAAAGTACCCTTTTTTTGAGCTCATTTTCATGTCTCATTAAGGGCTCAACCATGTTTGAGTCCTCCATCTTGCACTTGCTTCATTATCCTTCTAAAGTGTCATTTTCTTGCATGATATTTTTAGCTTGTGTGTGATTTATTTTGGAGCATGTTATAAACTGTAAGTAGGCTTATTTTGAGCCCCTCTTAAACATTGAAGAAGGGCTCAACAGTGTTTGGGACTTCCATGTTATACTTCCCTTTATATCCTCTTTTTGGTCCCATTTTTGTATGCCTTGGAAGCCCCTGATGTTGCTGTTTTTGGACCTTGGTCCGAACTAAAAGTGGCTTTATTTTGATCTTCTTAACATGTTTTATTAAGGGTATTTTCTTGTTTGGTGAATGTTTTGTATACCTCATGTTATAGCCACTTTTGAGCCTCATTTTTGCATTGCATTTCTAATATATTTGTATACTGCTTTTGGGGCTACCATAAACTGTAAATAGTCCTATTTTGGGTCCCTCTTCAACATTGTTGAAGGACCCTAACCTGTTTGGGGCCAGCAGCTATGAGTTTCTTTTTAATCTCATGTTTAGGGCCATTTCTTGCATGCTAGTTTTGTCCTATCTTGGTTTGCTGTTTGGCCATGTTTTGTACTAGTAAAATGCTTATTTTGGGGCTTCCTTGCTTCTGTCTTTACATTCCATGTACCAATTTTGCATGTTTGGTATAGCTATAGGCCATTTCGGGTGCCAAAAGTCGTGTTTCGGGACTATTCCGTGCATCGGGTGTACTTCGCCTCATTTCGGGGTTGTTTTACCCCATTTTTCATTGCTGAAAATCCATTAGCATGCTTATATATCATATTTTCATGTCATTTGCATTGCGTATGCCATTGCCTCGGTTTACGTGCCTGTGTGCACGCATTTCGAGGCACTTCATTTTCATCCATCGGCATCCTATGTGAGCGTGGCTGAGGCTCCCTCATGTTGGTCTAAGCCCATATCATATTTTCTTGTCATTTGCATTGCGTATGCCATTGCCTCAGTTTGCGTGCCCGTGTGCACGCATTTCGAGGCACTTCATTTTCATCCATCGGCATCCTATGTGAGTGTGGCTGAGGCTCCCTCATGTTGGTCTAAGCCCATATCATATTTTCTTGTCATTTTCATTGCATATGCCATTGCCTCGGTTTGCGTGCCCGTGTACACGCATTTCGAGGCATCTCATTTTTACAGCATAGTGCATGTTAGGTTGTATCTTAGATCGCATTCTGTCATTTTCTCGGTTTGCGTGCCCGTGTGCACGCATTTCAAGGCATCTCATTTTTACAGCATAGTGCATGCTAGTTTGTATCTTAGATCGCATTCTGTCATTTTCTCGGTTTGCGTACCCGTGTGCACGCATTTCGAGGCATCTCATTTTTACAGCATAGTGCATGGTAGGTTGTATCTTAGATCGCATTCTGTCATTTTCTCAGTTTGCGTGCCCGTGTGCACGCATTTCGAGGCATCTCATTTTCATAGCATTGTGTATGTTAGGATTGTATCTTAGTCGCATTTCATGCATGTCATGCATATTGCATCGTGTTCGGGATAGGAGTTAGCCCGGGCACGGGAAACGAGGTGCATTTCGTACTCCGAGTGACGGAATGCGTCTCAATTCCCCCAGTCACCGACACTCCGGA